ATAACAAAACAAATCAACTAATAGAAATCTTATTAATTAATCTTTTATGCAACAATTTTAATTTTTATACTGATAGATCTGTTATTGACATAGATACCAACCATTGCTCTATGGGCATAAGTTGAGTTCAAGTAGATAATAATAACTAAATAAATAACAAATTCTCTGCTAAGATTTATTTATGGCTAACCTCATATAAAGCAGAACTTTTATCTATCATATTAGCTATTTCAATTACTTCATGTAATTCTCTTATTAATATCTATACAGATTCGCAATCAATTATTTTCAAATTTATTAAGCTTAACTCAACTACTATTAATCCAACAAAATTTCAAAATTCAATGCATAGCCTCTGTGGTATACACTTTTTAATTTTGTTAAATTGTTTAATATACACCTTATTTTTCACAAAGTTCAGATCTATTCAGACAATACACTTAATAACCTAGCTGATTCACTAGCTAAACAACACATATCTGAAACATTACTAGAACTTAACTATACTAATATTTATAACCTATTTCATTTTCTGCAATAAAAAAAAGAACAATATTTAGTTGATCTCCCTACTAGATATTTTGTAAAAACAATCTGCAAAGCCCATATTCTAGCAATGTGGTCATCTCAGAAATGAAACAATAAATAGTCCTCTTTAAATTGGCAAATAGATTAGAAATCTACATAGCTCTATTTTAATTATAACCAAAAACCTTCATATAATAACCTCACAAATTTCAAACTTAATCAACTTAAATCTTTTAAAATTAAAATATTACTCAATGAACTCCCTACATACTCACTTTACTATACAACATACCCCCAGATCTTTCATAGTGATAAATATTTCTATTGCAGCTTACCTGACTCTTCATTACATTGGCGTACTTGTATTAACCCTACTATACTACACCAAATATTCTTATCTACTATTTCAAACTATTTTCACTTAACTAAACTCGATATAACTAATAAAAAATTAGAAGACCTAATCCAAAAAATCTATAGACATAAAGCATTTTATACATATCTGCAGATTTTTGGAATTGGGCCTTTTTTTAGGCCTTAATTTTTATATCAGCTAATCAATTTGTACCCCAAAAATTACTCTAAAAACAAGATTTAAATTTTATAAAACAATAATTTTAATATAGGTCAAACCAATCGCCTTACTCTCAAACTAATCACACATACTTTATATAAGAAGGTAATATAAAAGTACTAAAGACATTAAAATATTAGATTATGAAAACCTAATTTATTTATAAATTTTTTATTTTTATAAATTGACAAAGCGGCATGACTAATAGTTTAAGTACTTCTACCGTGCAACAACACTTTGAGTATAAAATCTGTAGTACTACGTATAAAACTAAAAAAGGTCTAACTCATCATCAAAATACTGTTCAAAAATACAATATTCGCCATGAAGGACTGTATATATTACCTTTAGAAGCAATTACTCAGTTTAAAGCAGATCTTATTCATATTATTAGAAGCAAGCTTAAAGATCATTTTAAGCAGTTGGGCAAACAAACTATTTCTTTTCCATGTTTGGAAAGTTTATTCTTTAGTGTTTTTGAAGGTTATATTCATTATTTTAATTTTAGAAAGAGAAGTTATAAGTGTTTTTTTCAAGGACCTGATGCGCATGCACAATTAACTAGTATTTTTAATAATCTGAATTGGGGCGCAAATTTTTTAATAATGATCAACAAACATTTGTCTTGTTGTTTGATGCGCAAGCTGAAAAAGAAGCTAATTGTAATTTATTTGGTAAATGATACAAAAATAGGTTACCAAGGCTAACTGTAGAGTGGAAGGTAAAAGCTAAAAAAGATGCGAAAAATAATAAAACTTCAGCTGGGTATATGTATTTAAACTTTTATACACGGCAAATTTAATCATACTATAGAAAATTAGTTGTTGACTAGTTTTGAATTATCATTATCAAATAGCATGTGAAATAAAACGATATTTGAAATCTGATGAAAAAGCCTCTAAGAATGCAATTATTAGATTTTATTATAAATGGATAAACAAGATAAGTAAGCATTATCAAAAAAAAAAGTATTTAGATCTTTAATAATTGGGTTTCAAAATTAACAAATAAGCAGCGCATTTTGAAAATAAGTAGGATTTTTTTAATAGCATTTTTACTGTGTTGAATTATAAATCAGAAAAATAAATTAAGATTTTCTGGTTTTAATTTTAAAACCCCAATTCAAAGTCTTTATTAAGGGGTCTCAAAATTAAAACCAGAGAATTTTATTTTATCTTTTCGATTTATAATTCAACATAGTAAAAATGCTATTTAAAAAATCCTACTTATTTTCGAAATGCACTATTTATTTGTTAATTTTTAAACCCTCCATTATTAATATTTATGCTAAAATTGTAGATTATAAGAAATTTAATCACTTTTTTTTTTTTATTTAGCATTTTCAATGTTTGGAAGTTTACCTTTTACCGGAGGCTTCATGTTTTTTCAAGAACTT